CAAGATGACCCTCACCCCAAACTCTCAAACTCAGCACTAGAAACCCCCACACAGCAGCTAAAACTATCAGAAAGCAACACTCCACTCACTCACAAGCCAACCACACAAGGTATACAAGGCTAGAGGTGACTAATCTCACATAAAAGAGGTGTCTTGAAGGATTTTTGTGAAGAAAACTCAATGGAACAGAGAAAAGGGAAAGGAGGCAGCAGCTACACACACAACCCACGCATAAAATGGTTGAGTATCAGCCTAGGGTTGTGTGCAAGTGACTATATATAGTCCACTTAACACTAACCACACAGTATTAACAAAAATAGCTACGCTTAGCATTTTAATCTCAAATTTTAGATTCTGAACCTACTCATTTTTCTAAGATTTATCATATTTTTATTTTATTTTTCGGAGCACCTTTCCGGTACGCGTTTTTCATAGCCAGTATCAGTTTCTGACACCAGTTCTCATTATTTAATCTTGAAACTCGTTTTACAAGTCCTATATAATATTCTAGTAATTATCATGCACTTATTATAACTTTCTGGGATACTTTTTCGGTACACATTTATACCGACTAACAGAACCTGTATCTGCACTTTTCGTCCGAAAAGCGACTTTCAGCATTCTTAATCACTTACTATAATTATATAAGCCTTATAATAATTATTAGGGTAAATTATGGAATCATTTCCCATTTTGCATAATTAATTAATTAAATTCCTTAATTAACGGTACAGGTTCTTACAAGTAACGTTCCCGAAACCCCTATAATAACGACCAGAAAAAACGATCCACACATGTATACAATTAGAGATAGAATAATATGCCTGCCATTTTTCTTATTTATTTCTTTCCAACATTGTTAGATGAGAATATTAAGAGAAGAGAAAAATGTTGAAGATTAATTAAGATTCAGATCTAACAGTATTGAGAATGATTAGGTAAAGTAAGCATAAAAAAATACAGACACAATATCCTATACTATAAAATTTATTCAGAGTTAAGTGACGTGACAATTATTCAGTTCTATTTTGACAATTGAACTTATATTAACACTTAAACCAACTATGACGATCTCTTTTTTACGTGATCTTGGCCATGTGAAGATTTTATTTGAACATATATAGTATTTTTTGGGGTTTTAAGTTTTTACTTTTATTGTAGAAATTTTTTTTATATCACATTCACATAAAAGTGGATGGGTCCCATTGATATATTCTCTCTTTTTTCTTTATAATGGGACCACTCACTTTTATGTAAATGTGGCAGATAATTTTTTTCTAAAGCAAAATATATATGATGCTACTTAGAACTTGACCACTGAGCTTTACAATATTCTTTACAATTTTCATTTTATTATTTTTCTCTTAAATGCGCGATCATGTGCCATTTAGTTAGCATAGTAAACTTGTTCTCTTTGAGGGACTTAAACACGAATTAATCTTAAACAATTGTATAATAGCATAATGTTGTTCATATACTCATACATAGAATTTACATTATCAAAGTCAATAAAAACATCCATAGTTAATTTAGAAAATAAATTACACCAAATTTATTTAAAAAATAAATAGATTAATTTTAGTTTGGAATACGGTGAGACCCCGACTGATTCTGGAGCTCAGATTAAGGAAAAAGGCCAGAAAGTCATAAGGAAAGACAAAAGATTTTAGCCTAACACGACCTCATCATGGCGCACAAAATGAGAAGGCAACATGCGACTCCCAAGGCACATCCCACCAGTTAGAAAGGGACACACTTAAAGGCATAACCGTCAAATGGAATAAGGAAGAACAAAAGATTGCAACCCAACATTACCCAAAAGACCTAGTTCAGGGAAGCTGGCCAAGACATAAATGCTAGAAAGCATGAAGAACAAAGCAACAGAACCTGGACAAGGCAGTATAAAGAAAGATTGGTTAGTCCCAAACGGGACCTCGACCGAAAAAGTTGAGGGAAGAATACCGAAGCAATATCTTTATATTCACCAAAAGTGGTTTGGTTTCTAATCTAGAGATGGACCATCCTTTTGAAAGTCTTTATTGAAAAAAGTTATGGTGTGTTTGATAAAATTTAAGAAGATTAATATATACTAAAATATGTAATCTTAAAACATGTTAGTATTAAAATGCAAAATCTTTGTAGGAAAATTTGTACTATTTAAGCAAAAAAAAGGCATTTCATTATGACTAATAAAACGTTATCAGTAATTAGTACTATAAGATTAAATAGATAAATAATAGTTTAAATAAGAGAAGATAACTCCTTAATTTAAATGACAAATCTTTAAAAGGATGGGATTTTTGGGTAACACTAAAATTCAAACCTATAGCTACCAAAACCTTTTTGATCTGGATAAATATCTAGGCCCACATTAAAAGCCTTGTATATGAAGAAAGACGCTAAGGTCAACAAAAGCTACTTGCCATGATTACCTTCACCTTCAAGAGAATAGCTCATGCTACAGTTGCTATTATATCTCAGCAAGCTCCTCAGTAAAACTTAATCACCAAGAATACCTCACCTCTAGGGAACTTCTACAAATATTATTTCCAAGCCACCCACAAGGGTCAATAAAGACAATTTACCGCCTCACAAGATTTACCAACATGGGAAGCATCTCCCCACCAAGCTGCTTATTCTCCTTCTATAAATACTATTGTGCTAAATCAAGATATATATCTTCTTTTACATAATAAAACCTGCTTTAACAAAAATTGACTTAAGCGTTGATGTGTTTTGCAAGTACACCCCCTATCTTGTTCCATTAAAGACTCATTGATTGAAGATGCTATGACCCAAGGCTACTAAAGCTTATTTGTATAGAGAGAGAACACATCATCTGCCAGCCCATATAGGAATGAAAGTGGATCCTCTCATGTGCTAATTAACATGACCATGTCATGATGGCAATCATAACCATACATGGGTGAGTTAATGGTGATAAAGGAGGAGAGAAAAAAAAATAAGAACAGGACGTTACACAATCATAATTGTTGATTTAATTATTAATGATTAAGATCCTCTCACATGACATGATCATGTTAAATTACACACGAGATGATCCATTTCCATATAAGAATAGTTCCAATTTATGGGAACGTTTCACACCACTTTTATTATTAGATCAATCCGAATGATTTTTAAAGAAATGGTTTATTTCCTAAATTAAATTACCCAATTTACAAAACTACACAAATATTTAATACAAAATAACTCCTAATTAATTCAAAATTTTGATGATAAAATTTTTTAGCCTTAAGAACAAAAATTAAATTATAAATTGGTGTTAAATTTTAATTCTCTAAAAAATTATTATAAAACAATTTCATATAATTCATTAAATTAATTCAACCTATAGACCGTTGGTTTTTTTTTTTTTTTGCTAATCAACCTAGAAAAATGTACACCGTACTTAAAGGGTATTGTCTTTTTTTATGATTTTTTTCTTTAATTATAAAATACAGCAATTTTAATTAAAATAATATAATTTTATTTTTAAAGGATAAACATTTTCCAAAAACTAATAATCCACAAGAATAACAAAATATACAGCAAAATCAAAAACCAAGAAAAAAACGACAGCAATAGACTTTCCGTCTCGGTCTTCGTGTTCCCGCCGCCTCTGTCCCGTTCCGACCGTGCAATCGCATTAACCGACAAAACTTTTCCTAAACAGTTAAAAAAAGAAAACTGAAAAGAACGAAATGACAGTTTTGTCCCTGTGTTTAGCTTAATAGCATATAATATAACTTTTAAATTAAATGAAAAAATATTTATTTTTAAAAAATACAATTTTGTGTCATTTTACATCTTAATTGTTGATTTCTGTCAAAATTATTGAGTCAAAATTATTAATTAATTAGTTATTAACAATAAAATTCAATAAATCCTAACCATTAGTTGATAAAAATTAACGGTTAAAATTAAAATGACATAAAAATATAACATTTAAAAGGACAAATATTTTTCTCTTAAAGACGTTTGGTACAAGGTATTTTATAGGATTCCTGGGAAACTAAATTTTTCTAAAATTTTAATTTGTGAATATTATCGTAAACTGAATATTTTTATCATATTTCTGAAAATCGAGATTCCCGGATAAAAAGAAATTTATCCTCTACAAACGCTCCCTAAATTAATTATACGACTGGGTTATTATATTTTGTAAATTCATTTCAATTACTTTTCACGATAAAATACCTCTAATAGTTGTCTAAAATAGAATATTAATTATCATGTTTTAAAAATGTATTTAATTTAATATATATATATATTATATGAATATTATTTAATAATGATGTGTTAATTCTTTATAATTTTAGATAATAAAATTAAAATTAAAATATATTTAGTCATAAACTTTGTTCTATATTAATTTTTTTTTTCTGAAAACACAAGTTCAAGTTTTAATTATTATTTTTTACTTTTAAGCAAGTTTTGACATGCGTTTATTTATTTTTGACTTTTACAATTTAAAATTAACACCTTATATAATAGAGAGATTAATATTTCTAATATTGTATGAGATAATTTTATCTTTATATATACATAAAAGTATATGACATTCATGTTTTTTTTTTTCTTCTTCTCTGGCCACACATGGAACTCATACACTTTTATGTATGAACGAGATAAAATTATATTTTATAACATAAGAAACATTAATTCCTATAATAAATATGTATAATAATATTATCTGTACATTAGACGAGTAATAAAGTAAGGGTTTTATACATATCATATTGCATGGCATTCTTAGTGTCATGTTACTCTCACAAAATGAGATCCGTCTTATTTTTTATTTTTATTTCATTTTGAGTGAGATCCACATCAGATATATTAGAGTAACAAGATACTAAAAATGTCCTACAACGTAACATATATAAAATCCATAAATTAATAATTCAAAAACAAAGCACAAATACTGAAAAGAAGAGCTTCCACACTTTCACCGCTACAAAAGCATCCCAGCCGTTACCGTACTCACTGCTTTCACACTCACACTTTCTCTCTCCTCACTGAAACATAGCACACACACACTCTCTCTCTCTCTAGCTTTCAATTTCATTTCACAGTGTTTTTCAAATTGAAACCCTTCTTCGCAAAACTAGGATTAGGTTAGGGTTTCTCCTTGCATTTACCATGGAAACCCTAACTTCCAACTGAAGTAAGCATCCGAACGACGTCGTTTGCCTCCGCCGCCGGAAAATGGGCAATTGCTGCAGATCTCCGGCCGCGGTGGCCCGTGAGGACGTGAAATCGAGCTTCTCCGGCCACGATCACGGCAACAAGAAAGACTCCGCCGGCGCCGGCGGAAACAACAACAAGAAAGCTCCGATCACTGTCCTCGCCGGCGTGCCGAAGGAGAACATTGAAGAGAAGTACCTGGTGGACCGCGAGCTCGGGCGCGGCGAGTTCGGCGTGACGTACCTTTGCATAGACCGTGGCTCGAGGGAGCTTCTGGCGTGCAAGAGCATCTCGAAGCGGAAGCTGAGGACCCCCGTGGACGTGGATGACGTGCGGCGAGAGGTGGCGATCATGCGGCACCTGCCGCGGAACGCTAGCATCGTGAGCCTCCGTGAGGCGTGCGAGGACGACAATGCCGTGCACCTTGTGATGGAGCTATGCGAGGGCGGGGAGCTCTTCGACCGGATCGTAGCGCGGGGACACTACACCGAGCGTGCCGCCGCGGCGGTCACGAGGACCATCATGGAGGTCGTGCAGCTATGTCACAAGCATGGGGTTATCCATAGGGACTTGAAGCCTGAGAATTTCTTATTCGCCAATAAGAAGGAGAATTCGCCTCTCAAGGCTATTGATTTTGGGCTGTCTATATTCTTCAAGCCAGGTAAGATTTGTGGTTTTGGAATTTAGGATTTTCTCTTGTACGATCTTGAAGTATGAATCTTAGGTGTAGGAAGGTAGGGAAGATGAATTGTGAATAATTTGGATGTGGGATTGGGGATTGTTAGTTGATTAGTGGTTAAGTTGTGATTTAGTTGAATATATCAAAAGGGCTGCCGGTTCTACAAAGCTCCGTTATACTCAAAGTCCACCGGTTGAGTGGTCTATACTATTATGATTTTGTTGTATATATTTTTCAATTAATTTATTTGATTTAACCCAAATAAGAAATGCTTAATTTTTCTGGCAATTGATGATTGGTTGGTTATTTATAGCTAGATTGATGTTGTGTTGCTAATCCTTCTACTTGGTAGTTAATGGGCTGTGATTATTTTGCACGTGCTTTTTTGCTTGGTGCTCTCTGTGTCTGTGTACTTTTTTGGTTCTATCGCATTGAAGGAAAAATTAGGAGTTTAGTATTCTTCTAAACTGGGAAATCGAAACAAAATAGACTAGTTAATAATGAGACTCCGTGTTCAACTAATAGCTTTGGCTTATTAAGTGATTTTCAATGTTGCAAATCTATCTTCTTTCTTTCAATATCGTTACAGTTGTACTATTTATTCTGGAAGAATGTTTAAAGTTGTCTACAAATGTGTATATTTTGAAGTAGTAGCAGAAAATGTGATCGTAAAATTCATAGCGGAAGGGACAACGGAAAACCTTTGAGGATGAGATATTTGGGGAACTTTCTTGCATTGTTTCTGTCAAATTTTTTAATTTCAGTTTTGTTTAAAAGTTTAGCAATTTCAAATAGAGAAATGTAAACGAAGTCATAATCCACTATTGTCAGATATGAATAAATGATAATGTTAAATGTAGAAGGGATGTTAGGGAAGGGAAAAACATGCTTTTATGAGGTGATTAAGGAAAATCTGGCTTGCATTGTTATGATGTGCAGAAATGTGAAATTACCCAAAACTCTCATGGGTTCTTTGAATTCTAGATCATAGCTGACTCAATGGAAACTCTCCTACCTGAAAGTCAGATATTCACTCCCAAATCAAATTAAAGTCTGTCCAGGACTCAATCATAATCATCTGGCAAGAAGGAAGTCTCCTCAGTATCTTTAAACCTGGACTTCAATGCATCATTTAATTTAATGGAATCCTAATTTCCTCTTTTCTTGTAAATCAAATTAAAATTTGAAATGTGGTGTCCACTTCAGATCTAGGTCTGCGCTGATAATGAAAGAACAGAACCCTAAGAAGCTTGGCAGATGCAGTGTTACCGTTTTAGGTTATGTTTGTTTTGACAGATTGAGTGGGAAAGAAAAGGAAGGATTTTGACATACCTAGTAGGAATTAGTCCAAATACATCAGTCCTTAAGCCTCTTATCAAATGCAGCATTAGATAGTATGGTCTTTAGTGTAATGGTACTGCGAGTCAAACATAATTTAGATTTGCAATAATAGCATTAGGACTAGGAGTAATTTGGTATCTACTAATTTTCTTGTGTCTAAAAGAAAGGTTAAGAGAGTTGAACCAGGATATTTTTGGTAATGTCAGATAAAAAGATGAAATTCTTAAAAAAAATTTGAAGCCATGGATAAGTTAGATGTGGATGGTTTAAGGAAGATGCAATTGGCTAAGGAAGAGGATGTGAATTCTAAGCTTTTCATAAGATGGCAACATGGAAGGAAGAGGAAAAGTTTAAGGAGTTGGAATTCGCAAATGGTCAGCTTCATCAAGTTTTTAGAGCTATTAATGAGGAAATTACCCAATTGTATAAGGCTTTGTATACTGAGGAGTATTTTTCTAGATCTTTTTTTGAGAATTTAGATTGGTCTGCCATCACCAGGAAAAGGCTTTATTCCGGGAAGACTTTTGAAGAAGAGGAAATAAAGCTTTACCTCTTGAAGTTTTTAGGGCTATTTTGAGTATGGATATAGAAAAGGTTTGGGACTTGATGGTTTTACCTCTTGAATGTTATTACAAGGTTGTTGGGATATGATTACAGGTGATCTTTTGAAGATGTTTAATGAATTCCATAGAAATGCAAATATTAGGATCATAGTAGTTAAAAGCGGATTGCGGCCAACCTTGAAAAATGCTATAGTGCTATAGCGGGTTGCCGTTGCCGAAATAGCGGAATGGATTAATAGAACCTATATATACCACACACGTATATACTAAAAAATAAAAATCAATAATATTAGGAGAACAGATCAGTATTGATCTTTTTTTTTTATTGACAAAAAAAAAATCGGAGACCAGAAAAGAAAAAATAGGAGGTCAGAAAAAAGAAGTAAGAGGTCAGAAAAAAAAAAGTTAAAAAAAAATAACCCAGAAAAGAACAAAATAAGAGGCTAGAAAAAGAAGAAGTCAAAATCATTACCTAAATGAAGAGAGGAGAGATGATGAGTCAAGAGGGAGGAGAGGAGAAGCTGCCCACTGCCAATGTTGTTCAGATGAGTCAAGAGATAGAGATAGAAAATAGAGGATTGAGATAATATTCATTTTGTTCAAAGTGATTGTAACAGTAAATTTATGACTCTTAATTTTGTATATATAAAATTATATATATATCTTAAAGGAAACAAAAATATGTGGCTCAGACTAGGACAAAACAATTTATTAATTCTTTTATATAGCTCTATTGTTTAATTCTTTTTTTTAAAACAACTATTTAATATTTGAATAATAGCTTTTGATATATTTCTTTACCCATAAAAAATAAATCATTAGCTTTTGTAACTGTTGCCCATGACTCGTGGGAAAAATTATATTAAAATATATCGAAACCCAATACAAGTGGGTTTGTTTTGACGTCTTCAAATTTATAATGCAGAAGAGAGAGAGAACTCCATTTTTAACACAGAAGAGAGAGAGAAACCTTCGATTTCATTTGAACCGCTTTCAGCCGCGATTTTTCGCCGATACAGCCGTGATTCCTCCGCTATTTCGGCTGCTACAGACGCTATCACTTTCCGGAGTGCGGAGTGGTTTCTCGCGGCTGACCACCGCAACCTGCGAACGGAGCGGGTAGCGCCGCTTTTAACTACTATGATTAGGATTAATGTAAAGTATAAACACTACTGGTATATCTTATCTTTGGTTCCTAAGAAGATAGATTATCAAAGCTAAAGACTATAGACCCATCAGTCTTGTCACCAGTTTTTGTAAAATCATTACAGATATTCTTTCTATCTTTCTGAATGAGGTGTTGTTGGGGGTCACTATTTCTGTGAATCAGAGTGCTTTTGATGCTAGTAGACAGATCTTGGATGCTGCTTTATGGTCAATAAAGTGGTTGATGATATGATGATAAGGTCAAAAACACAGTCTAGTTTTCATTCGAATTAGACTTCTAGAAGGTTTAGTTGTGGTTTTTTAGATAAGCTTTTAAGAGAAAGGCTTAGATTTAAATGGATAAGCTGGATCTCAAGTTGTCTTACTTTTTCAATGATTGTTAATGAAGAGCCAAAGACTTGATATTGCAGTCAGAGGGGTGTGAATTAAGGTGATCTTTGATCCCATGGTATTGTTCTTCACTTTGGCAGAGGATGTTCTTGGTCATCTAATTTCTAAAGCAGTTGCAAGTGGGACAACTAAAGGTGTCTAAAGAAGTTTCTACATGGTGTAAAGATCATGGTCTTTTTACAGGGGTTTCTCTTACATAAATGTTGAGAGATTGGGCAGTTTAACTTCATTGATGTTTTTTGTTCTCTTTATTTGTTCTTTTTTTTCATTTATTTTTTAAGGAGCATTTCCTATCCTCGTAACTTTGTAATCAACTTCATCTTAATGAATTTCTTCTTTTATCTGTTTTTGCTTTGTTTTGTTTTGTATTCAGTATTTAACTGGTTGTTGCTCAACAATTGTGGTAAGGACTGTTAGGATGGTGTTTTCATAATGTAAAGAAAGTACTGGCTCATGTCAAGCATATATCCCCACCCCCTTTTTTTTATGCTTTGCCATGTAATAGCACATTGTATAGCATTACCTACTCATGTCTCAATAGTATGTTTCAATCTTTTGTTATTGATTATATTATATGTCATGTTTTCTACAATGTTCTCTTATGGGCAATACTCATTTCTCCAGGGGAGAAGTTCTCAGAAATTGTTGGAAGTCCATATTATATGGCTCCAGAGGTACTCAAGCGGAACTATGGGCCAGAAATAGATATATGGAGTGCTGGAGTTATTCTCTATATCTTATTGTGTGGTGTTCCTCCATTTTGGGCGGGTAACTACTATCTTATGTCCTAAGATTCTGATGGTGCTCTTTCTGCTAGCTCTCCTTTATGCTTGCATGAACATGTATGGCATTCATGCTTTCCCTGTTTTCTGTATATATATATATATATATATATATATATATATATTTTCTGAATTAAACAATGCTGACAAAGAGTAATGCTTGTGTGCAAGGTTTTGATCTGACAAGTTTTTTTGTGATTTCTTTTTGTTCATAAATGCTGCAAATGTTTTGTTCCTTTGAAGTTGGTTAATTATTCCATTAACTTATGTTAATTGTTTTTATCTTACCTGGAGATTAATTTTAATGCAGAATCGGAACAAGGGGTTGCACAGGCCATTCTTCGTGGGCTTATAGATTTCAAACGGGAACCTTGGCCTAGTATTTCAGAAAGTGCTAAAAGTCTTGTTAGACAAATGTTAGAACCAGATCCTAAACTCCGACTAACTGCTAAGCAGGTGCTTGGTATGTTTTATCTCCTTTCATACTAATCACATCTTAATCTGAGTAACTCTGAAATTTAGCATTAGGATGCCTCTCTCTAATCTATTCTGCGTACTTTTTAAAGTTAAAAGGTTCTGAGTTCTACATCTTTAAATGCTTGGTTTATGATAGCTGCTTTGTTTCGTTCTTTCGCTAATTTGAGGTACAGTATTGGCATTTATGCCCATCTGTGACATTAAGTTGAAATTTATACCGTAAGAGAAAAATATAGAACCCACATAAAATAATGAAAATAGAAGAGACTCGTTTGTGGTCATTAATGCATGGCGCTTTTAATTGGGCTTGATTTTTGAGGTTTTTATATCTCTAAAATCTCTTTCCTTTGTAACTTTGGTTTCTTGCACAAAAATATTCAAAATTTAAGTTAGAAATGAAAGGGGAGAGAATCATCAATTGTGTACACAGTTTTATAATAAGTAGTTCTTTTTTGATGATTTGAATTAAAATTTACTTTATGGTGATTATGTTAATGGATTATGAGAATGAATGCATGGTTTCATTGTTTTTCTTTCCTCGTTTGCAGAGCATTCTTGGCTCCAAAATGCTAAGAAGGCTCCTAATGTTCCTCTCGGAGATGTTGTCAAGTCAAGACTAAAGCAATTTTCAATGATGAACAGATTCAAAAGAAAAGCCCTTAGGGTTGGTTCACTGCATATGCTGATTTCTTTAGCCTATGCTCTCATTGCATGTTAGAGCTAAAATTGTACATTTGAAAACAGGTCATTGCTGATTTCTTATCCACTGAAGAAGTTGAAGGCATTAAAGATATGTTCAAGAAGATGGATAGTGATAATGATGGTATTGTTTCCATTGAGGAACTCAAAGCTGGATGTGGAAATTTTGGGTTCCAACTTGCTGAGTCTGAAGTTCAGATGCTTATTGAGGCTGTGAGTAATGGTCAAATGGCTGTTTTTATTCTATAATCTCTGTTGTGTCGACAATGATAAAGTTTCCGCTTGCAGCATCTCATAGTATTGACAAAGAAAATTCATTCAGTTGTATACCATTGATGAGAGTCAGAATTCTTTGGGCATCTTATGTTTTGCCACTTTTCATGTTTGTTGGGGGTTGCATTATTCAGGCATATTTGTCATTCTAAAACCAGGGCTTTTGTGTTCTTTTTCAGGATTTGGTTTCTGTTTGTTGTTATGCTTGGCATTATTGAACAATTTCATGTTGTTCAGAGATCTGTGTGCACAAACTAATGGGGTCTCTAATTCCTTGGGAAAATTATTGACTGTTTTGACATGATTCTTGGAAATTATTTGGATTGAGCACGATACCTTGTAAAAAAACTCTCTCTCCCTCTTCTCTCTTATCCATATATTATGATTTTAATTGAATAATTGTATGCTTCGTTCGTGCCTAACTGCTTTGTAGACTATGACTGTGAATAAGGAACTCCTGTGTTTGTTTGTTTTTTTTTTTTTTAATATTTTGGATACAAATGCTAATTACCTCTTTGAGATGAGTAGGATCCCCTGGATATCCCCACAAGCTTTGATCCAATCCACATTGTTAAACTTTTTTTTTCTTTTCTCATGGTCTATTTTCTTTCAATTTCTATGTCAAGGTACCAAAAGTGTAACATTCCAGTTCTAATTCAAACCATCGTTTGTTTGTAACAGGTGGATACTAATGGGAAGGGAACACTTGATTATGAAGAATTTGTTGCTGTTTCCCTTCATTTAAAAAGGATGGCTAATGATGAGCATCTTCACAAAGCCTTCTCCTATTTTGACAAGGATGGGAATGGTTATATTGAACCAGATGAGCTACGGAATGCCTTGATGGAAGATGGAGCTGATGATTGTACACATGTAGCAAATGATATTTTCCAAGAAGTAGACACAGACAAGGTGAAAATTTGATAGGTTTTTCTTTGTAGTCTTGGTTATGGAATCTTAACCTCTAAAATTCTTGGACAATTACAGGATGGACGCATAAGCTATGATGAATTTGTGGCTATGATGAAAACTGGAACCGACTGGAGAAAAGCATCTAGGCATTATTCACGTGGGAGATTCAACAGCTTGAGCTTGAAGTTGATGAAAGATGGTTCTGTAAACTTAGGGACTGAGTAGTGGACTGAGTGTTGGCTTGTATTCAATCTCTTACCAAATGCTGTAAAATTCCTCCAATATTCTGGATTTGGCTTCTTTGTGATGATTTTTTGGTTCTTTTGGTTAGATTTGGCCATTTTTCCTGGTGCTGTGCGAATCACGAAGGAGTGCATATACCGATATAAACTCCCTTTGCTACTTCTGTAAAACACAGTGCCTTGGAGCCAATGGTGTGACATGCATGAATCCACTGTGTGTAACGACGGTTTGACAATGTTTGATTCAAAACTGCTACATGCAGTCAGATTATGTTTGTATAAGTGCTAATATCTTGCTTCTCTTCTGGGCTCTGATTTGGTCATTCTATCCTTTACGAATCACGACCACTGTCAATGATATTAACTAAAAAATGGCTGATTCCTCCAAGGTCTCCCATGGCTGCTTATTCTTATGTAGTTCTATATCTAAGGCTTACAATCTGTTGGATTTATGGCACACCGTGTTGGATTTGCACTAGTTATTTTTTAGCTGTACTGACAGGGACATGCTGGTTCATTTTATAGTTCAATTAGCACTGTTTTAGGATGTTTATCTAATCCAACACCATTCCTCGTATGTTATACAGGATCATGACATTGGGCCTTGACGAGGAGCCCAACTTGGCCCATCGTAGTACATAACCCATGGACGTGTGGATTTTCTGTTAATATATCCGAAACAATTATAGGCTATGATGGATCTCTAAATTTCATAAAAATTCTCTATACATATGTGTGTATTGCTCATAACTGAGTTTGTTCTTTCCTGTGTATCATTATACAATCATAAGACCATTGTTAGTTTTATTTCTTAGTTTTCTAAATGTATATCTTTAGTTGGGGCACTCTTTAATGCCAGGTGAAAGAAAATATTTTTGATATTACGGATGTACCGATTATTCCATATATTTTTTTATTAAATATGAAAAAAAAAACATATTTATACTATTATTTTTATGGTTATTCTTTTTTCCCCATATTTAGTAAGGGATTATTTATTTTTGTTGCACAAATTCTACTCCAGTTGAAGGCCCTTAATGTTTGGTTTTCGTCGGCATTTGGAGTCTTTTTACGACCTCATTTCATAGATTTTCTAGTGGATGTTGATTGGTTGATACTCTATCGTAATGGGCTTTAAGCATTAAGCTTACATTCAAAAGCCAAGCTGTCAAATAATCATCCCTCTCTTTACCCAAAAATAAATAAATAGTCTAATCTTAAATACACCACTCTTTTGTGGCTTGAAACAAATTTCCATTACATTGAATAAATGCTAGTCTCCATTGTGACTGGCGATAGGCACCATATATTTTGCTGGTGATAAACAACAACGAGAGACCAGACTGTCCTTTTCACGTCCCACACACTCCTTAGTGGGGTTGTGGTTCGAAGGTTTTCAGTGACATCTCGGTAGCATCCAAATTAAAATCTCTTGGTTGATATTAGTGGTTTTTGATTGCTGGCCCAATCAATGAAAAGAAAAAGTAGTAGTTTTGTTTTTTTATACAAAAAAAAGTAGTCTCTTTTATTACAAATGAATAGATCAAGGACTTAGGATTCATTTGGATTTTTTTTTTTAAGAAAAAAAAAACACTTATTAGGAAAAGTCTGTTTGGAAAAAAAGTAGAAGTAATAAAAAAAGGTAAAAAATTACATTTTTTGAAAGTTAAAATTTTTAGTTTTTAAAAAAGTAAAAGTCAAAAGCTAAATATTTTTTTTTCAAAAATCAAATATTTAAAAAAAATTTAAATAGCTTTAACTTTTATAAAAAAGAGATAATTTATTCTACTTATTATTTTTTCTATCTATCTTTTCTACCACTCTCCAATACCGTTAGATCAAAATTTAAAGAGGAGAGAAAAAGATAAATGTTAATTAAGATTTTGATCTAATGGTCTTTTATAGTGGTAGACAAAGGTAAGAAAAATAATTTATCCCTATAAAAAAATACTTATTTTTTGTAGATTAACTCATCCGTACAGAAAAAGACTTATAAAATAAGTAAGATCTACAAAGCATTTATTTTTTTGTAAACCCATGCAAGCTGACCCTAAGTATGCTTTATGAATCTGGGACTGACGCATTTGGCAACCAACAATCAAAGAACAATAAATTCTTATGGGTTTCATCTTTAATTTTGCCAATTCAGAATGGAAGCTTTTTTCTTAAAGCATGATTGAAAATAACTTGTGCGGCATTAAAAGGAGAGAAATGCCTCATTTAAAAAAAAATTGTGAGATTGACAAAATCAGAGAGTTAAGGAGTATTTTATATAAAATAGAAGTGGGAAATGGAGCTTTTATTCTCAAAATTATGTTATGTTATTCCTCGTGTGACCACCTCGTTATGTTAGGCACCGGCGCTTAGTTGTGTTAAATCAATCATTCCAATAGTAATCACAAGGCAGCAACATAATCGAGCATCGCATGTATCAAGTTTACGTTACTTGATTTTGTTGTGTGAGCAATTGCTATTACGGGTGCTAAACGAGCCAGGGATCTTAGAGAGGCATTTGACTCGGCTTGTGAAGGCCTGAGTTTTTATATTTAAAATTGATTGTTGGAATCAGGCTTGCACTTGTATAAAAGCTCGTTTAGTAAAAAGGCCCCAGACTCCAATTCAAAAGCTCGGCTTTAGAGCCTCTCAGGCTGGCCTAATATATTATTTTTTATTTTTATTTTATATTTTTATACTACTTGTGATAACTCTCTCTCTCCTCAATTCATTTCATCTCATTTTATTAATTAAATAGACTTTTTGAATGATTTTATTTTATATTATGCTGTTTTGATATACATTAAATTTATGAATATTTATCGAATTACTTGTGCGGCTGACTGTATATTTTGTTTGAATAAAGTTTTGTTGTCTTATTTACTTTTAGACAGGCTAATAGATTAAACCAGACTTTTATTTTTTGTAAATAAGACAGGCCACTGGCTGAAATTATATTCATAACAGTTAACAGACTTAGTCAGGCTGACACATTTAAACACACGCTTAGCCTTTTAAGACCAAAGCTCGGCTCGGCCCGTTAACACCCCTAATTGCTATCATCTTTTTAGAGATAATGCGTAAAGGCTGTAATTGGCAAGCTTGGTGCTACTTCATTTTCGCCTTATATAGGTATCATCACTGGCATTACTATCTTATATTGCTATCTTGTTTACTTAGCAACCACATTGTATGGCACACATACGGACAACGCTAAGAAGTAAAGCAAACCAATCCTTGTCACGGTTCTGAAATTTTAGATTCGATTTTATTTGGCCACACGATTCACATGTGATCCAAATGCTCATAAAAAATTATTTCCCTCAACATTGTCCCACTTCAAAGTCTGAAATCCAGTAGGGCCAAAGCGGATATTGAGTGCACAATGCTACATGTTTTGTTAGCTAAAAGTCCCGAACATTGCTTTACGGTATATGTGGGCACTTTTTCCTACAAATGTTATCAAAAATAGTGATTATGAAATTGATAAATCAGAGATAGGTGATTATGTGGGTATAAGGATTTGAGGCATGTTTGTTTTATAACAATAGATGGTGGATTATAAGTTTGTGATGAGATTATTAGATAAAAATTCATGGTTTACGACCCACAATAAGCCCATGAGATTATATAGCTTTAGATTGCTTTCCACCTAAAAAACGGTCACTAGAGACTTAACATAGGTCATGGCAGTACCAAATCAAACACAACGATCCAGACATAGCCCATGTTATTTCCAGAGTATTCACCATCTTCAGATGTTCACACACATATCCCTGATTATTGCTTATCGGACTTTTGGTAGGAGAGACTGGACCATACCTTGCCAGTTACCTCTGCGATTATTTCGTAGATATAATTACTATCTCTTTAGCTAGACACCTTTATTCAACATTTGAATTAATTGAATGTAGAAAGATTGAAGAACTTCATTGGGAAGAGGAGAGTGAATTTTCTTCTTTGTATCGTGCATACCATTACAGATGAGGACTAGAGGAGATACAACTCCTAAGCAATTTTATAAAAAATCGGACCAATCCGGTTGGGTTGACTCAGAAATCAGTCAACTAGTTTTATAATCAGTTCGGTTTTCATATTGAATCGGCCATGTAATGAAATCGGTGCGACCCTGTCATTTTTTGTAAAAAACCAGTGACACCCGGTCGGTTCCACTGGTAACCTAACTCAGTTCATAAAAAAAGCTTCTTATTCTTATCAATTGATGCCTTTTTTTTCACTCTCTCACACAAATGGTTGTTTTCTTTTGAAATATTTGAGTAATCTATGATTTATTGAATTATATAGGTTATGTACCTACAACACTAATTATTATCTTGGTTGTTTTCAATAAATAAATAAATTATTATCTTGGTTATGTAATATGCAGCGAATTTTGATTTGATTTATAGTTAGAGATATCGTCTACTGAACCTGAAACACCAGTATCACAAGTATTATATGTTTGATTGATTTTTTGTTAGATAATAATGTGTAATTTATTGTTTTTCATATTAAAATATTTGGAATTAGTATCATTTTTAATAGGTATTTGAATATATTTATATTTTTAATATATATATATATATATATATATATATATATATATATATATATATATTTACATGTACTTATCATGTCATGCGATTGAACCATTAATTCACTAATTGAATCAGTAATTCACTAATTGAATCAGTAATCCCACACCTCAATCTTATCAATAAACGAGTCAGGTTTAATAACATTGACCCTAAGTGAAGTATGTGACACTTGAACATTGACATCAAATCAAATTAGAGTGGTTTGTATTGACTGAAGACGAATATTCGTATGAATATTTATTTAAGGTTTATTTTTTTGGAAAACAATATTTATTTAAGTTTAAACAAGATAAATATGGCTTCAAAATAAAGAAAGATTATATTTATAATTTTTTTTCGTTTATAAACTCTTACCATCAAATCTTAATCGTTGATTTCGATCAATTTAATGATTATAATTTATTGAGTTAACTTATTAATTAATTTTTAATTCTCAATAAATTATAATCATCAAATTAACATAAATCAATGATTAAGAATTTACTATAAAAATTTATACAGAATTTTTTTTTATAAATATAACATTTCTGTTCTAAACATAAATTTTAATTTAAGAGGTGATTACGTACGAAAAGATAATTTTCATTAAATGGACAAAAAGTGACATCAACGTTTCATTGACTTGATATATAGCCAATAAAGTTTTTGTAGTCACATAAATGGAAGAACTGATGCTTGTTACAAGTGTCTGGTTTAGAACTGCTAGATGAAGATAACTAAGGTGAGACTTTTATCAGTCCAATTGCATTTTATTTGTGCGTTAAGTCCGTTACACTTTTATCAACTTTTTTTTTTATCAGTTTAACTGTAAATTTAATTTAAAAAATTCAAGTATATTTTATATGGGTCTAATAAAGACATAACTTACTTGGTTGAGGAAGGATATTTCTATAATTTTAATTTATTATGGGCTATAATACTAGTTTTTATTTTTATAAAAAAGAAATTCTCCCAAATTCAAAACGAACCAATTTGAAAAAGTAATTATGTCTCAATAGGAGAAATATTAAACTCAGTTTATAATATGACATAAATGTTTCAAATAACCTCATGATCTTTCAAATTGAGGATATTTTTTTTTTTGGATA